CGGTAATGTCTCCTAGATCTTAATATTGTAATTTTTAAAAATGTATAACTGATATTGTGTAACAGGAAGAAAAGGTCTAAAAGAGCAGGGGAAGTGGGAGGGGTAGGGGAAGGGAAAAAGGGAAAGGAAAAAATATGAGAAGAGGAAAAAATGGAAGCAAGGTCTTTGCAAATAGGGAAAGGTGGAGGGGTTGAAGGGAGGGCAAGGGAAGGGGGAAAAAATAAGAACCAAGAGACGCATGTAATGGTACAAGATCCCAATGATGGATGTAACTGTATTTTATACCTAAAATGTACCAAAGTTAATGGGGGGAAAAAAAAGACTCAAGGCTGGGGTCTTGCTTAGCAATAGAGTGCTTTCCTACCTTGTGCAAAGCCCAGAGTTTGACCCCCAGCAGTGAAAAAAATCTGTTTGTGTGTGTGTGAGAGAGAAGGAGAAACCGGGATAGGGATCGAGAGAGACAGAGAGATCCTGTGTGTACAGCTCTGGAGGTGGTGCTGGGGAAGGGGTGGTGGTGGTGGTGACGTGTTGGAATTAGGAGTATATATTTCTCGTATAGTCTTAAATATAATCTGTTTTTAGTTCAAAAATGCTTTTCCCTTCAGACTCAGTTTGAATATTTCCTGTTTGGATCTGCTTAATAATATCACCTTTTACTACAAATCACAATGCTCCTACCGCCCTAGTTGCAGCTCATGAATCAGTAAATAGGTGATGGTTGATAGGAGCGTGCTGGACCCGGCTCAAAGATCTCCACCATGGAGAGCAGCCTTCTGGATGTCTGGACAGCAGACTGTGGATGCCCGTGCCCCCTCGCTTCTCTAACCTGGAAGCCCATCACCAGCCCCTCCCTTCCCGGACGCAGAGTGGAGTCTGTGGCCAGATGTGTGACCTTGGAACGGCGGGCAGGAGGCAGGACCACTTGGGGTCTCCCTGGCTCTGCTCTGGAGGATTTGGGCCACGCTCAGGAACCAATGGGGCCATCTCCAAGGAACATGCGAGCCAGCCCTGTGTGCCCCGCTGCTCTTATTCCCAGTGATCTGTGTCTCTGACTTCTCTTGTTGCCTTTCTCAAATTACAAAAGAACTTAATCCTGTGAGGTCAGAAGGAAATCACAGGTGAATCAAAACCATCCATTCTGAAATCCATTCTGTTTCCATGACTGTTTATTGGAATGGGAAAATATATGACTTCTGAGAATTGCCTTTGGATTCTAACCTAACGTCCCGCACGTATACTCACCTGTGGATATTTTCCTGTGCAGTGTGCACATGTTCCTGTATCTGTATGTATGTGTGCAGCGTGTATATGTGTGGCTCGGGTGTGTAATGTGTATTTGTGTGTGTGCCTGTGTATGGTGTGTCGCTGTAGGTACATGTGTGTTTGTGTGTATCTGTGTGCACACCTGTTCATGGGTACTGCATGTGTGTAGGTGTACATGTGTGCTCCTATGTGTCTGTGTGTGCACACAGAACCACACTCACACTGACTCAGTCCCGGTACCTGTGTTTTCTTCTTCCCTGCAGAAAAGCGGCTCTCCCGGGGGATCTCGCATGCCAGCTCAGCCATCGTCTCCCTGGCCCGGTCCCACGTGGCAAATGAATGCAACAATGAGCAATTCCCCCTGGAGATGCCAATCTACACATTCCAGCTGCCAGACCTGAGTGTGTACAGTGAGGACTTCAGGAGCTTCATCGAGCGGGACTTGATCGAGCAGGCGACCATGGTAGCTTTGGAACAGGCAGGTAAGTTGTTTCGGCCAGCAGGTCCAGGCCTTGGGCTCAGCAAGAGCAAGCCAGCCTGAGCCCTTACCAAGCAGGAGAGAACGGCATTCTCAGGCTCTGGGAGGCTGCCATCAGGACTCTCTGTGTCTTTACTGAACCAGTTCTCAAGCCTCGCTGTTCCCACGCAGGCCTGCAGGATGGAGGGGCTGAAGAGCAGGTGGTGCTGAAATCGCTTGAGCTGCCTCCCTTGTTCCTAAATCCCAGTACCCTTCTTGCAAGAGAACTCTGGGCTTCTTTGCCTCCTTGTTTCCTCTCTTCTCCCCATCCAACTCCTGCATGGCTGTTGAACAAAACATAGGAAAGATCATAGGCCTGACAGAAAAATAGGAGACTCCTGGCCCTTCCTGTGGACACGGGCAAGTCCTGTAACCTCTGCAAGCCTCAGCTCCCCATCTGTGAAGATGAGAACACTGTTGACCAGGGGAAACAGCACCAAATGACAGATGCCTTGTGTGGCCATCCGTCTCCTGCCTCCCAGCCTTTCTGGCCTCCAGGTTGAGGAAACTCGAGCTGGCCTTAGTCTCCTTCTCCTTCATGTTTCCTCTCTACCCCAACAGCCCAGCAGGGAAGTATCCAGGCAGCACAGCAAGCATCTTTTCTTTGAAGTCCTGGTGGGGGAAAAAAATCTGTTCAAAGTAAATGTCAGTGACAGGTTTGGGTTATTCCAGAGACAAAGCAATATGTATCTCACTCCTAATCACTGAATACTCCAAAATCAAATATTCAGGGGCTTCTCACACATGTAAGAAAGACTCTATGCCCTTCTTCCCAAGTCACACACTGCCAAATACGGACCCTACCAGCCACTGTGCCCTGACGGTGGACACAGAGTGTGTCCCCAGCCAGGGGCGGCCACTTCTGCTGGGACTGGGAAGTGAGGCCTTCCGGTTGGCATTCAGTCTTTAGGCAGCTCTTCCTGTCTGCTGCAGCATGGTGCCTCTATTGCCAGAGGCCTGGCCTGCAGAACTTGGAGTTACTCCCAATGTGTGACATCCCAGCCAAACAGGAAGGGAAGCTTGTGGGTAAGCAGCGGAGACAGGATCCTGCTGAGGGCTGCGGCCAGCAATGCACCTTGGCCAAGACTCAATGGACACAGCCAGATACCTCTGAGTATTTCAGAGGAAGCCAGAAGAGAAGGATCTGTAGGCTGGACATTGGTGGATGGGCCAGTCAGGACCCTGGGAGGAAAGAAAGGGTGACTCACAGCCTGATGAGATGAGAGGATTCTATGGAAGGACTGTTTGCCAACGAAGAGGTGGAGTTTAAAACACCCATGAAAGATATTGTTGTTCCAGAAAACAGCCCTGGCATTGCTACCCTTGTGCCTGGTGGAGAGGCTAGGGTGAGAGGAGCTGTACAGAGAGCTGTGGGTTTGGAAGGGGGAGATACTGGAGAAGTTAGGACTCTAACCACATCCTCCCCACCACGCAGGCTCTGGCTGTGCCTCTTACTGCCAGAAGGGCACACAGTTCAGTGATGGGTCCATACCACTCACCCCAGGCACAGAGCAACATGCACAGGGGTAGACCTTCAAGGCAAGTGGGAAACATCCAGACAGGTGATGTGGGGCATTTTGACCAGCACGGGGCTTGTCGATAGACCTGGCTTCATGCCATTGCTTGTCAGACCATCCCAGGGCTATCCCCACCTACCTGCTCTCAGAGGGAGGCAGAAGATGCATTTGACAAAGAAGAGGATGGTGGTTTATGGGGCCTCATTTCTGTCAGTCTCAGTCACAGGACCCAAGGAGCTGTGCATGATTGCAGAACAAGGTCCGCATCCCTGTTGCTATATTGGGTCTCACCTCTGACTCTAGACAAGCTGTTGTCTCCACTGCTGTGCAGCCATCAAAAACAACCCACGTTCTGGCACCCAGAGTCCTGCTGTCTCATCTCAGCATCACTCACTGATCCACAAACAAAACAGTCCCTTGGGATTGGTGGTCATGGAAACGACCTGCTGCGGAGGCCGGCTGTCTTAACAAGGTTTCATATGGCTGATTCAGATGAGGTGCTCTCTCTCCACCAGAAAGTTGGTGTGGGTTAGCAAAGACACAAGTTTCCTGAGTGGCCCTCCATTGAAGTCAGCAGCAGCTCAGACCTGTGCGGAGTTCAGCACTGACAGTCACAGATATCAAGGGCAGTTGATGCAGGTGCCTGAAGCTCTGAGCGCTGTGTGTAGATCTGCCACATCAGCTTTCCCCTTTCAGCCCTACTGTGTTTGGTAAAAGCCTTCATTTCTTTTGAATATGTTTCTTATTAATTTTTTCCCATACACAGTGGTCCCCCTCACCCCCAGTTTTACTTTCTGAGGTTTCAGTCAACTGTGGTCTGAAAATATTAAACAGAAAATGCCAGAAATAATTCATAAAATTTAAATAGCATTTATTACAGTATATAAAACATTATCCTAGATAGGTACATATGGGGAAACTATATATATAGGGTCCAGTACTGTCCATGAGTTCAGGCATCCACGGGAGCCTTGGAACATGCACCCCAAAGATAAGGGGGAACAACAGCTGTATCACATATTAATTTCTATCACTTACATTTTCCTTCTTGACTAGCATTTTAAAAGGGTACTAATGAACTTCAAATACCCTGTCTGGCACCTCTTAAAAACCCAAACTTAATGAGTTAAGTGTTAAATTTGCAAACAGCACATTGTTTATTTCCCACACTGGGCAAATGGAGGGAAATGGCAGCAGAGATCAATGTAGACTCAAGGCCCAGACCACTGAGCAGTGAAGCCCCAGTCTACACTAGCAGAAGACCTTGGAGAGGCCACCGGCTCTCTCTGCATGAGGTCAAAGGTGCTCACAGTGCAGTGCGAGTGTGAAGGTCAGGGTTCTGCCTGGGACAGGCACTGCAGGATTCAGCACGTCTCCCACATTCTGGCACTGAAAAGCAGGAAGGTGCGCAGGCCGCTGTGCAGCCCTGAGGCAAAGCAAGGCGTCTCTGGGCTAGGGGATCAAACCTGAGCCCAGCCCTCATCCACCTGACTTCCCAGATCTTCTCTTTCCCTCTGCTCTTAAGCAATGGCTTAGATTAGACCATCACTCAGGCCTTTCTGTGTGCAGATTCCAGCAGGACACCCTCATCTGCTACTCCATCCCCTACTCCCAGGGGTAGGACTCTGAGCCCTGGGAAGGGCTGGGCTCCTCAGGACTCAGCCGTCACTATCCATGGGGAAAACAGTACTCTGCCATAACACAGTGATATGAGAAAGCCACCGGCATTGCTGGGTGGAAAGTGTACATTCCTTTTCCAATAGTTAAGTACTTAGAAGGGTTACGAATAAACTATTGATATGCAAATGCTTTATTATATGTTGAATTATAGATATGAAAAAATATGTAGTGAAAAAATATACTTAAAGTCAGTTAGCCTAGTTGTGGTTGGCAGGAAATACCATAAATCGCTTCTCGGTCTTTTGGCTAAGATCAAGTGTAGGAAATAGCATAGTTCTCATGGGACCTGAGGTGTGGGACTTCTTCCTTTGGCTATAGAGCAACACAGGGCTGTTGTGGTCCAGAAAACTGGCAAAAAATGGCCTTCGCTCAGTTAGCATTGCCCAAGGCAGAGTTGGTGGAGCCCCAGGACACGGCTTCACTTCTCAGTAGCCTGTGAGGCATGGATGTTCGGGGACCCGCCCCGTTTGAGGCATGTGGGCAGCCCCATCCGTTTGTGAGGCCCCCATGTTGAGTAGGGTACGGGCTTTGAATTCCAACAGATCCTACAGGTAGAGAAGACCAATCCTCCCCTAACCCTAGAACCCTGGAGGATACAACCCCTCCTACCTGGCAGTCTCAGGGACAACAGAAGGACCCGGTCTTCTACAGGTAGAACTTACTGTCCTCTGAGAGAGGAAAGAAAGATGATTCTCATTCATCAGTGATTCATCTACCCAAGAACTCATGTCTTTTTCAATCAAGTGACCTTGCTGTTTCTCAAGTGGGAAGAGTGTGAGATGAAGAGTTTGTAGGTTTGGGAAGTAACATCGATGCCTCATCTGGAAGCTAACTACCACGTGGGTAGGTGCTGTGTGGCACTCTGGTGTACTCATGGGTCACGGGGCAGAGGCACATTGGTGTAACACAGTAGTTACTCTATACACAGGAGATTGGAATAGAGATGTTGAGTCATATTTAGGATACCTTGGAGTTGTGGGGCTGAGTCTTGCTTCCATGGGTGGACAATTGGTTGGAGGGAACCTGCCAAAGAAGTCATAAGATGTGGAGGAGGCTTGCAGACTTTGGATTCAGCCTGACCCTGGCTCACATCCCAGACTGGCCAAGTTGTGTGGTCTGCTGGAGTGTCGTGGTCTTGCATCTGAAAGTCAGAGATGTGTAGCAGCTGCCAAACTGCGACAGACTCATCCGTGGACACCGGTGCTGCACCTCCATGAATCCCTGTCCAGGTCGAGGGCTTCTCCACAAACTGGACAGATGGAAGTCCCTGCTCTGGAGGAGACTGAATCTCAGTGAGGAAGAAAGGCCATAAACAAGTAGGCCATAAAAAGTGAGGCAGAAGTGGCTGCAAGGAGAAGCTAAGAAGCAAAATAAGGGGACACCAGGTAAGAGGAAGGAACCAACAAGCCAGAGCAGAGAGGGGAGCTGGAGTGGAAGAGACACCTGGATGTAGATGCTCCTGGCAGAGGGAACAGCATCACAGGCCAGCCCCAAGTAACGAAGGCCAGCATCACCTGTGCAGGTGCAGCAAAGGCTGGAGGAGCTGCAAAGAAAGGCCAGGAAATGGAACAGGCCCTAGGGCACCATGACGAGTCCTTTAGGCTTAACATTAGCTGGATGTGCAGCCTCCACAGGATTTCGAGCAGGAAAGTGACAGACTTTGATTCACATCTGGCTGCTCTGTCAGAAATGGACTGTGGGATCGCAAGAGAAGAAGCAGGAAGAAAGGAAGGAGGCAGCTGCTTTACTCCAGGACAGAGGGCCAGAG